TCAGTTATACTGGGTCAAACTTTTGGCCTTTTCAGCTCAGCTCCCGTTTTTTAAATATATTTATAAAATATTTCACAATATTACTGTTTTACTGTGTTGTTGGTCAAATAAATGCAGCCTTGGTGAGCGTAAGAGACAAAAAAATCGACTATGAACCTTTGAATAGTAGGCTTAAAAAACAACAACAGTAATAATTAAGTTGAATGACCTTTATTCTTAAAACAAGAAAATCTCTTAATTGCTAACGAGGTAAGAACAAGAAAAACGATAAACACTACCAATGGGGTATGAGAAATATACTTAATTGAGCATAATTTTATTTCTCCAGTGAATTTATCTTGCATTGAGGATGTTAAGGCCAAAAAACTGATTACGAAAATAATATCTCTGCAGATCCACTTAGTCTGCATTTCTTCAGTTATACTGGGTCAAACTTTTGGCCTTTTCAGCTCAGCTCCCGTTAAAAGTTACACCCCCAGCAAGTTCTCTTTATTAATTGTCAGTGTCTGACTGGAACGATGCCACTCATGCCATACACGCTGCCCCCCCACCTCCTCCCCCTGGACTGAATCCCTGGCACCGCATGCATTAATTAATGCATATTTCATTTAGCATGCCTGTGCTGTGCAGCATATTGCCTTCCACTCTATTCATTTCCCCAGGGAAATGATGTTATACATCACCCCTCTGTTGGCTTCCCTAATCACACACACAGTACGCAGGCAGACGCATCCACACACTTCTGAATTCCCAGGATGACACTGGACCCTCTGAGCACCTGAGGCGCTCACAGCCTGAGGGATATTGCCCCAGCACGCACCACCCCTCCCAGGACATGCTCAACAAAGCCAGATGGCAGTGATCGCTGACAGAACACACTGCTCCAGAAACCCAATCACGCTGCCACTATATGTGAAACCTCTGTTAGCTTCTAGATTTGGCATGTTAATCAGACACATACTAATACTACAAAGATGGGTCATTACTGTACAAGAAAATCTGATTGGATGAGTCACAGATGATGATTATACTCTAAATCAATCTACAATTTATACTAATAAGCTAAAATAAACTACTGCATATCACTTGAAAAACTGTTTGTTGTGATTTATATAATAAATAATCATAGTTATTTAATTGAACATGGCCATCTTATGTCATGTGTTGCAACCATTTAATAATAAACCATGAGAAGTTAGAATGATTTTACCATGATTAATTGGGTTTCAGACACTAAAGATTGACTTTGCGTCAAAGAAAACCATTTACACTATGGATACATACAATATCAACAAATAGACAAATCCTTTTTTATATACGACTTCAAAAAATACAAATTCCTCCATGTAGGTTCACAAAACTTTGATTTGATAATATGCTTAACAGTGACTTAGTTTGACATTGAAAATTTGATATTGTACTTTTCAGTCTAAATTCACACTTTAAAAATTGTGTGCTACAAAGACAATTTACATATAAAGGGGTGGCACTGAATTAGAATTTCATGAAAAGCCCATTTAACTTCTCCATTTTATAATGATTAAGGCGACACATCGACATCACACCACATCATTTTTAATAAAATTTGGAATTCAAGCAGAATAGAATAAATCACCGCTTGAAATGACAGATAACAGCCTTGACAATAGAGTACCTGCATGCCTCATATTGTATCACAGGATAATGATGAACTTGCTTGCAGTGCAGATTCTCAATATATAACTCTCCTGTGCTTTGTGAATATAGCTTCATAAGATGACAATGATAAGAGAATATATCCATTTGCACTTTAAATCTATATCATTAAATTTATAACCAATCAAACACTACTATTCAAACATTTGGGATAAGTAAGACTCTTATCGCTCACAAAGGCTGCACATATTTAATTAAAATATTGTGAAATATTATATAAATTTGAAAGAGCTGTTATCTATTTGAATATATTTCATAATATAATTTATTCCTGTGATGCAAAGCTGAATTTTCAGCATCATTACTCCAGTCTTCAGTGTCACACGATCCTTCAGAAATCATTCTAATATGCTGATTTGCTGTTCAAGAAACATTTCTGATTATCTGGTTATCTGATATCAATGTTGAAAACAGTCATGCTGCTTAATATTTTTGTGGAAACTGTGAAACAGTGTTTTTCAGGATTCAATGATGAATAGAAAGTTCCAAAGAACAGCATTTCTTTTGTAACATTATAAATGCATTTACTGCCACTTTTGATTAAATTACTGCGTCCTGGCTAAATAAAACTATTTTTTTCCTAAAAAAAAGACACACACATATTTAAGTTATGAACAGTAAATGCAAACTATTTAAGGCACTAATAAACAATCAAATGATATCTGTGAAGTAGTGTTGACAAAAGTACCGACCACAATACCATTCGGTACTGAAATTTTAAAAACGTCCATTTCCCGCTATGCTTTGAGTGCTGTTGAGCAGATTCTTGAACAGCACTGACTGGTCATAGTGGGCTGATAGGTCATATCAGCGGATATAGACGGATCCGCTGATAGACGCAGCTTTCAAACACTCCCATGTGTTTCTGCGTGAGCGCTCGGTGAAGAGCGTGAAGCGATGATCATTGAAGACAATCACAGACGTATCTGTGAGCGCGTGAACACAATGAACAATCAGCACTGTTTAAGAATCTGCTCAACAGTGCTCAAATCTTAGCGGGAAATTTACTTTTTTTAAATTTCAGAACCGAATGGTATCGCAATTGGTACTTTTGACAACACTACTGTGAAGTTTTGTTTGGTGGTTCTAAAGTTTCTATAATTTTTCTTTTTCCCCCAAATGATACTGGGACAACCAGGACTTACAGAGCAAATAGAGGACTTGAAACTGTCCCGCAGTGCTCACTCTAGCAGTGACAGCAATGCTAAATCATCTGCAAAGAGAAGCTTTAGATCTGCAGTCATGCTGGGTACACCTGGGAACTCGAGTGGTTCCAACTGTAATGCCGGTTTGTCGGGCCTTAAACGTACTTTTACTGTCTGAGTCAAAGATTTAGTTCTGTTCTAATGATTCTTTGACTCAGAATTTAATCTTCACAGACAACTACACGCAAATCAAAAATATATTTTTGAACCAATGGTGCTAAGATGGGACAATCAGTTTGGTCTAACACTGGCAGAAGGGGGTGCTAGAAATGTTTGGGAAACCTATTTAAAAATATTAATTATTTCTGCAATTTCACTAGTGGCACAGCAATTACACACTTCACATTAAATGATTAGTCAGTTACATTATTGCCCAGTCTACCTTAAAAAATACCATCATCTCATTATTATTCATAGATATTCATACATTTTTACATTTGAATAGACACTGATACATACAATACCATATGGATGGCTTTTTACGCATGGCTTTACAGAAATACAAAATCCTCTGTTTAGGTTCACAGATTATTGAACAGATAGCCTAATTTTAGCATACTTCTAATAAATGAGATTGATTAAACATGCTTAACAGCACCGAAATGTTAATTTAACACAGTTAGCACTCACATATACCTAATTTGACACAGAAACTTTGAAAATACATTGATATATTGCATATCAGTCTAAATTCAAACTGAACAGATCATGAGCTACAAATGCACTCTACATAGAAATAAAGAGGGGATGTTGAATTATTGGCCAAAAGATGCTCTATTACTTTGTAAAAAAAAAGCCATTTTACCTATCTATTGCTATCTGAAATGAATAATAGCAGCTCCTAATAAAGACTAAGGACAATTACTGATGTCTCTGTAGTGATTAAAGGATTTAATCATGTCTTTGTTCCAAAAGCAGCATTGAGAAACTGATGGATTTTAGTAATTTCTCCTTTTTTACTTTCAAGTGCCATATGGGCAGACAAGCTTGAATCCCAGACCAAGCTTATCAGGGGTAAAGAGCACCACTAAAGGTGGTTTTGGCCATGCTAAGTCACACACGGCACAGCTACAGCCAAACAGATGCTAGCATTTCTCTCAAGTCCAGTGACCACATGTTAACAAGCCTTGCAGAAAGGGACCAAAGCTTTTTGTTATTTCTGCTTAAGTGGGACAATGGCTCTGTAGTGAAGCTGAGGCTCTACCCCATTATCTTAAGAAACAGAGGAGAATCAAGGCTTCTGTACTAGTCGTTAGCAATGCTAGCTGAAATAATGAATACTCTGTGGGTAACAATTCAAGAGGAATCCTGCTGCTGACGGCTAATGCGGGTTATAAGTGCTGTATTTTGGGCTGTGGGTTTGCTTTGTGTGTGTTTTGGCGAGCATCTCTCAACGTGCACGCAAGCATTTGAAAGCCAATGTCCCTGAACACTGGGCCACATTTATGAAATGTGAACTATGGTAATTTGCATAAAATCAAAGTATAATTTGTGTGTGTGTGTGTGTGTGTGTGTGTGTGTTTCAGGCAGTAGACAATGAAAATGGAAAATTTTACGGAATGGAAAATTTAAAAAAAAAAAAGCTTGAATCATTCTTACAAAATCACTTTTTCCATTTAACTGTATAAAACTTATACTGTTAAAAGTGCAAATATTAATATAAAACATTTCATTTCAATTTAATATTAATATAAAAATAAATATAACATTATTATGAAATATAGATATCAAAACATTATAATTTTTTTTTATTACTGTTATTATTTACATCTGCACCTTTAAATGTATGTTTTGAATATAGTCAAACAACCAAAAAAAGCCAACAGCACTTCCTTTGCTGTGATTGCCTGATCAACATGAAGAGGATAGCTGTTGTCATAGATACTGTCTATCATCCAGTAGAATTGAATAGGTTGTAATGAACTCTTTAAGTTGCCAAGTATCAGCCAGACTGATGACAACAGTTTTTGACTACTGAAGAACTTATCAAATACTACATGTACAGGCCCAAAAGCAATTAGATCATCATTACAAATTAACATTCACATTTTAGTTCCTTTGAAACCAGTGGCATCAATGCTTTCAGGTATCTATACGCACCTTTGACGCTGAGTTCAGCATAGTTGGACACTCCAGATCCTCCATCAGAACGAATGACGCAGCGGTAACGGCTGGTGCTGCGCTGTGACGTATCCGTTACGCTAACGGTGGCGGAGAAGCGCCGATGGTTCACCACTCGGGTTACCATGAGAGATGTGTCTTTACCATTCCATTGCTGAAAAACAGAAAAATAATAATTCTTGCAACTGACAATAAGCACACATAATATGTTTTACAAAGTGGACCATAGTGCTACATCAAGACAGAGGCACAAGCTCTTAAAACACACTGTGCACAATGAGAACTGCTGTTATGTCTTCATGTCTCAGAGCTGTAGCACAGGATAGATGGAGGCTTATAGTCTCCAGCCAAGGGAAAAAGTAATTTTATCCAAGACTTCATGGACACAGACACTGGCTTAGAAATCCTGCTGACAAAAATCTCCAACAAGTTATTAAGTTTCCTCAAGCGATGTGTCTCGGGACCAAGGTTCATAACCTCCCAATGCAAATGAAGTGAACGTTACACGCACACACATAATAGAGATGCTCAGGGATAAAATCAACATTTTGAGCATGTACACTGAAAAAACGAAAATGACTGTGCCATTTATTTAAAATCTTATATTGGTCTAAATGAAAAGCTTGGCTTCTGGTTTAAACTTGTTTAGTTCAGTTATTCAGTTAAATGTAATGCATATTTTAAAAATTAAGGTTTTACAAAGTTGTCTTTATTTGCTGTAAGTAAACTAAATTAAACACCAGCTTTTACTTTAGTTTAAGTAAAAATATATACATTACTTTAATCTTATTTTCTAATTTAGCTTTTGTTTATGGTGAAATTAAGTTGAAAAAAATCAAATATATATATATATATATATATATATATATATATATGTGACTTACATTAAGTTACATTTTGGATTATGTCTAAAGAAAATGGTCTTTATAATAAATACTCTTTGTATGATTGTTTTGTCTTTGAGAAAATAAATAAGGTTTGAACCAAACCATAAATATAATACAAGTACTTTTTTGCTGTAACAAAATGGGTCCAAAGTATTTTTTTACTTTTTCATACCAGGTTTAATATGTCACTGAATGTTTCTATAGGTATTTTTGTTTTATTTAACCAGGATTTAAAAAAAAAACTTCAGGCAGCTCCTGGCAAAAGGAGGCAGCACATATTTTAACAAAATAAGAAATAGCACACACAAAACATAATGATAATAAAAAATGTATGTTGCAGTCCGTTTATGTGAGATTATATGTGAATGCATACTGTATGTGTGAGGTTGTGTGCATGACTCACCTGTAGCCAGAGTTTGTCATGTTGTGACCATTTGCCTCCAGCAATACACTGGAAGGTGGCGTTCTGTCCCACGTTCACCTCGACATTCTGCAGCCGCAGAAAATGTGGTGTCTTACCTAGCAAAACACACATACACACATATACCTTCAAAACACATCTTACATCATCCATGCAAATCAAATAAAGCACATGCTCCAAAGACACTAGTGGTCAACTATAGAGTGGCCCAAACGCGTTTACATACTTAAAAAGGTGCAGCTTTAGCTATGAACATGTTTTTGTGCATATATTTTTGTGAAATGTTTTGCTAATGAAGTATACTTGTGCTCACATCCTTGCAAAATATCAAAGTAAGCGTCATTTATTGTATCTAATGAAATTACATTCTGATTTTATAAGTATTCCACAAGTGTCCAAATGCTTCTTTCAGTTCTTGTATATTTGTTTTGAGATGGAGAACATCTCATTGACATTTCTGTCTGTTTTTCTGATTGTACATTTAGAATCACCATCTGAAAACTAGAAATTTAATGGAGCACCCATTTGTATTCAATACTATTTCCAATAAACATTCTCTCATTTGCATGTACAGGTGCATTTGTCAGAAGGGTAACTCATGCACTAGCTGAACTCTTGTGTCTCAGTACAGCAGTCTCCACCCACTGTCTCTGCCAGCTTCATTTATCTGTGCATGCATTTCTGCACAAAAGCAATATCAATATTTTTCAATTAAAGTCACTGAGAATATAGACTTCTTATTTTTTGTTTTTCTGCTATAATGTGGAAAGCGCTCAGATATAATGAAGGAATCTTAAAATGACCCACATACTGTATATTATAGCAAATACATTTTTTTTAATAGATACTTCCACGGTCTGCTTGTGTTTCTTCAACTCAGTTCTTAATACATTTTTATTGAAAATTCTGGTTGCATGGAATGGAATACTAGCTTACCACATACTGTGCAGTATACACCATTTACTGTTTTTCAAACACTGAATGCAAAACTATGCATTATGCAAAGATAACCAATGCCAACTGTTAAGATAAATGACTTTGAATAAAAGTGTCTGCAATGATTACATACACGGACACTTTTCATTTTCTGTTACTTATCACCCCTGGAACTAAAAACTCTTGATATAACACAATTCAAGAAAAAAACTAAAAAATATTAGTCACACTGGAAATGGATGCAATGTCATCTGAGTGAACACGGTCACTTTTTTAAATGTGATTTGCCATTCGAAACCTATTTTACTTCTATAACCAAACATAATTCTATGTGATAAGGATTTTGATAATGAATAAAATACTTATGAAGTCAAACTTTTTTGGAATGATGTGCAATGATGAATCATGCGTAATAAGTCCAGGGGTCATGTTCACTTCTAAATGAATATGAATTAACCTAATTTCCTCATTGGCACTGCTGGCTTTACATTAGTGACACAGAGATATCTTGGACAATGGAAGTCAAAGGCTAAAGTTCTCCCGTCACAACAAGAATGATGTGGGCCTGAAGTCTGAGCACTCAGCTCTGCAATCTGTCTCCCTGTCTCTCTCATCCTCAGCCCAGACCTGCTTGTTTGCTGGACTTTTCCATCTCTGTTCAACCCTCGATCCACATGAAGTGCTTTTCACAGTAGTTGACAGACTGAACTCCTACAGCGTAGCCAAGACTGTGAAAGTAAGCAGGCGCTGTGTGTGTGTGTGTGTGTGTATACTCACGGCAAGGGTGGGCCAAAACGTGTATCTCATCCACTGCGATGAACCCTGGATGCCCTTGTACAGATACTGCCTCGAAAATAACCTAAACGAGAGAAGAGGGGAGAGGAAATCAAGTGTTTAAATCAAGTCAGCTTGTTAAAGTCTGAACTGAGATGGTGAATTTATTTCAAGCAACAAGTCAACAGGAGAGATCTTTAACTGTAAAACCACCTACAGCTGTCCCAAACACTTGCGGCACACTTAAAAATGTTTGAATGTCAATGCATCTTGCATTCATTTTAAAGAGAGATAGCACAAGAAAACTTGTCAAGCAAGACATAATCTGATAATCTGCACTGAAACTCTGTAAACACAAATCTGAGCACACATATGGGACTGGCATTGTTTGTATGGCATACTGTACATGCCATGTGGTGAGGACATGTGTGGTCTGAACAATGCCCTCTCTCTCAAAGCTGCCAAGGACTGGAAGTAGAATGCCAAAACCTGGACACAGGATGCACTTGAGTCCCTGGCTTCCCAAAAAGGCCTCACTGTAACCAGTCAAGAGACTCAATCTACTCGAACAGACTCAATTCTCACCATGTTATTCAGGGTGAGACTGCAGAGACTAAAGGTGTGTGTTTGCACAAACCACAACAAGAGAATGTCACGTTTCGGATGAGAAATGTTGTGGAAACTGCTTTCAGTGGCTTTAGCTTTGTGTTGTTGTTTGTTCAGTTCTCAATTCTCAATCCTAGAAAAGAGCAGTGCGAATATCCTGCCACAAGAAAGTTACACAGGTTTGGAACGACATGAGGTTGAGCAACTAATGACACTATTTTCAATTTTGAATGAGCAAGCCCTTTACATCGTCATTTTTATCATCCTTGCCCCTACTCAAGGACGTTGCTGTATTCATCATTTATTCACAAGATTATGGCTGACTCAAATGATCTCTAAAACTGTCAGGACTTGGGAAAAAGTTCCATCACAATTTCAAAAAGAAACAGATTTGCCTTTTTTCCTTTTGCATATCATAAAGCTTTACTCTTTAAACACTGTCACGCTGAAAGTGGCACCCTACGATTTAAAATGTATCACGGCAGGAAACAAGTCAATTAACCCAGAGATTCATTTGGCAAAATTGGCCACTTATCTGGCAAATTCGTTGCTCTAATCAAACTCACAGCGGGATATTTGTCAGTATAGTTTATGATCCCACGGGCAGATTTTCTAGTAGATATTAGTTCTCGATATTTAACAGGTAATTTATTAAGTTCAACTCAGCAAGACAAAAAATTAATTAATTCAAAATCTATTACATCCCCCCCCCCCACCCCCAAAGATAGACAATACAATACAATATTATTAATATTTTTTTTAATTAATCTTAAATTTTAAAAGGAATTGCAATTTAATCTAAATTACAATAATTATCATTTATAATACGCAATAAATACCAATATGCTAAATAATAATAATAATACTTACACATGTTTTTGTGACATTCACCCCAAGCACAAATACACACACGCAAACAAAAGCTTTGATATTGCCTGCTGGTCAAATAGATGCCCTCAGCAAATATTGCCTTTAGCTAATTTTGGTCTGCTGTTTGCCAAGAGAATTTGAGTATTCCCAGCACATTCTAAATATTTGCTCTTCTCATTAGTTAATTCAATTACACGGCTAATCTTATGAGGGAATTTCACTGCACAGATTGACCGGTGAATCTATAGACAGAATGAAGAGGAGCGTAAGAGGCAGAGAGAGATAGAGAGAGATCTGGGTCTAAAGAATCAGAAGAGAAAAAGAAAGAGGGGGCGAGAGTGAGCGGTAATAAGCAAAAAGACAGATCTCAAATTAACAGCTAAAAGCTTATTCACCAGGGCCATTTGTGGGTGAGATTAGGGGACAGTGATTGCAGTGGTAATTGGAGCAGAGAGCAATCTACTACCCCTCTCTGCAGTTCAATTGGTGCCATTCACCACGAATATATGGCAGAAAATAAACTTCAGTCAATTTCAGTGGCCAAGGGGACAACATTTTCAGTACTTGTTTTAGCTTCTGTTCTTTTAGCTGCTAGTCGTTTGTTTGCTATGTGACTCCTCCTGCTAAAAACAACCTAAATTATCATGGTTGTCTTGCTAATCAAGAGAATCATTTACTCCATTGATTTCCACTGTAAGTGCTGTCAATGTCACTGTTAATAAAAAAAATTGTATTTAAACCAGAAAAAAACAGAAAAGTATGCAGATTCTCTGTATTGAAACCCATGACTCAGGCATTGTTATTGTCATGCTTACCTGATAGGAGTTGGGCCAAAAGGTGCTGATGGCGAGTTCAGCCTTCACCCAGCCTTCCGTGACGGGTGCTGAGGCATTCCAGATGGGATTCCCCTGTGGCCCACCGTCCACTTTTATATAGACATTGAGGGTTCCGGGACTCGTCCCATCCCGGCTGGACAAGGAGTAGTGGAAGTCTATGCAGTGGGTGTCGTTCTCTTTTAGCGTGGGCAGGAGCAGGTGGGCCTTCTGCCCTGATGCACGACCCGAAGCATTCACCATCATGAAGGAACCTAGAAGTAATATAGCATACGGAAATTGGTATAGTAAAAAAGGTATGGAAACATATTGAAATAATGAATAGAACAGAAGAGAATAGAATAGAATAGAATAGAATAGAATAGAATAGAATAGAATAGAATAGTTCACCACATTCAGCTGGAAATGTAGCAGCTGTGACAAAGCAACAAGTGAACAAGTGTTTCTTAGCAATTGATTCTTAGGGCCAATATTTTAAAGAATCATTAAAAAAACTGAAGACTGAACTGATTCAGTCACACTTTTTCTTTAACCCAAACACTGTGTAAATATCAAATAAATCTAAAAATAAATAAATAAATAAAAATAATAATATATCATATAAATATAAAAATATTATGTGTTGGCCAAATCCACAATAGAATATTTAATCAGTCATGTTCATAGATGAGGATGTATAGAACAGAACAGAATAGAATAGAATAGATTTCCTCTTGAAAAAAACTGACAAATTACTTCAATATAGTATGTTGAAATAATATGAAAAATTATTTAAATTTTAAATGAAAAAAAAATTATCAAAAAAATTTTTCAAATAAAAGTATATAATATAAAAATATGTTCCAGAATAGAATATTTCCACAGGCAATGGTTATAAACAAGGATGTCTTGATGTTGAAGAATAGAATAGACCTCATAAAAGAACGCTTATTGAACAGAATGTTTTGATGTACGGTATCGTATACTCTTTACCCACACTGAAGGCTACACTGTCATTTTACACGACACAATCATGTTCATGGTCTTTTGTGCCTTTGTAAGCAGAACACATCAGATAACCGAGTAACTGGGTAACTGCCTGCTATAAAACCACCCTGAAACTGTAAGTGCTGAGGCACTATTTATGAAACGATTCTGTGGACAGCTTTACATCCATTTTACTCCAATTTTATGAGACAATATGCCATCTTACAGCCTTATGAGTAGTTTTGTACAAGTCACTAACAACAGCTGCACTGCATTAGAAAGAAGAAAGAGCGCAGGGCTTCAGAGAATACAAAAATCATGATTTTTCTTGAAAAAAGTGACAATCATTCACCTTCCTCAGGGAAAAGCATTTAGTTAAGCTAAAGACCCAAAGGTGGCTTTTTTTTTTTTTTTTTTAATTATAGTAATTCATTCCAAGTTCTTTAAAAAATCTCACAAAAGAGTTCAACTCATTCATGTCAGTTAAAAGGTTTTAGCCTTAACAAAGGTGAAAGCCAGGTTATCACAAAACCCATGTTTTTACAGCAATTATAGCGCTGGTCTGTTCATGATTTGGTGACTGAAAGACCTTTGAAATATTTCCGAAGCCGTGTGCATTTGCAGATCCCTTCACTAGAGACTATTCTAAGCTGTGACATGCAAAAAATTTAGTATATCTATCTACTATAATATACGCTGCTTGCAAAAATGTTATTTCATCAGAACTTCTGAAAGCCTGTCAATGCAGAACCAGGCATTTTGGATCCAGATGGCGATACTTACGTCAAGCGATGTGCATATGTTAAGGGCTAGGTTAAAACATCACCTACATAGGCCAAAATCAGTCCCAATTTTTCCCGACACCTTTCTGCCTGGCTGTGCTAAATCACCATGTATAATTTGCCAGGTGGACAGAGGAAGCCATTGCCATAACACCCCATTCATCACAAGTATTATCTAAGACATGACCACAAGACCCGAGCGCATCGCATCTATCAATCAACACAACCTTGAGCCCTGGGATGAGGCCAATCAATTCCGCACACTGATCCAATCTAACGAAGGCCCCCTAAACAGCGGGCTGGTAGTGAACTCGCCTGATTGCATTTCATATTCAACCCTCTCGGCCCACGTGCATTTTCTATCAGGTATTCTGAGCAGACATCTATATATTCCCTACCGTTGATGATTGCCAATATATATGTTCGGGCAAAGTGAAGCCTTTGAACCGCGAGGTGATTTAGAGCGAACCTACAAGCAGGCAATCAGCCCTACCACCACGGTCAATACGAGTGTCCTCAATCACACCATCGGCCGTTTCAGTAGATTACACTGTCTTAAGCTGAGCTAATGTGAAATCGGATGTAATGGTTCTATGTTAAATAACACGTTTTATTCCAGGTGGACTGCTGGATGCACAAATTCTTGACATGAGCACGACAACACTACAAACACGCCTGTGATTGGCACAATCTTGCGGTGGGACTTTGCATGAGAATTTTAAATGGAAATTAATGTTTACATCACGACAAATGTGATGCCGCCGCAGCTCTTGCTGGAAAACAGATTAAAAACACGCAGCCTCCAAATTGCTTCAGTGATATTACCAGATTTCAATTACCTCCTGGAGTCCCAATGCATAGGAGGCACTTACATTTCATGTATTAATGAGTTCTTGGGATGAATCAAAATATTATTAAAAGTCATTTTCTGAATATTCTGAGAAATACCTGAGCATGATGTACAACTTGTTATGCGCATTCTTAAGGACAACACTATTTGGATGATAATTCCTTTTCCTGCAACTGTGGGCACAGATAAACACAAATCAATGTCGATGAAGATTTCTCTCAATACTTACTGCAGAACAAAAATAGCTTCTGGAGTAAAACGCAGCACTTGGCGATCTCCTTTACTAAAATCGATAGCAATATGAGAGTCGTTCTCAGCTATCAGCAAACGTGCCGTCAACAAAATAGAGTCCTCGCAGAATCACAGCTACACTACTGGTGATTTAATGCTGATCACATCAACCAATAACCAGTACGTGGTTTTCAAGACCAACGTCGATCCATTACTGTTTTTCTAGGACAGCGCAACAGTCTGTAAAACATCTTCATAGGGGCCACACGAGGCAACCGATAAGGTATCGCTTCAGTGCCGCTTGGTTGACAGCTGTCACCCCTGCGTTAATATGAAGAGATGTTATATGAATTCATTTACGTCTAAACGCCCTTGATTGGAAGATTTATCGGTTCAAACATCTGAGAAGCAGTTTTAGAATGCCGTGCAATTCACATCAATCTTAGAGACACCTGGCTCTTGTGCGGCAATTTCAACTCATTTTCTCGGAGAGGATTCTTCTGCGTGTGGCTGCAAAGTACCAAGAGGACTTGCCGGTGAAAGTCATTATTCCCTCTGAGTATTTCCACTGGGAGCTCTTTGCACTAAATGTCACATTCCCGCCATCATAATATGATCCCCCACATGACAAATAGCAAAAACTCTTCTAGTTGTCACTTTAATATGCAATTATGGCAGGTCCCTGTACTTTGGGCCCTCTGCTGCTCTGTCTGATAAAGTCACGGCATTCCTCATTTCTGCCTGCCAGTTTTATCCCGGGAACAATAAAGCACTTATTTACCATTGAGCCAAGCAAGGGCGGTAATCTGCAACGTACCGTTGAAAAGCTAATGCGCTGAGAGGGAAAACACAGGGAGGAATAAAAAGGAAGCGAGGGATGAGCTTCAATAGGTGTGGAAGCATATATCGGAGGCATCTGCTAAAATATTCAGACGGCACAAAAAAAAAAATATATATATATATTTTTGAAACTACCATTCAAAAATTGGGGGTCAGTATGATTAATGCTTTTGTTCAGCAAGGCTGCATTAAATTGATCAAAAGTGACAGTAAAGACATTTAAAAAGTTTTAAAAAGTCTATTAATCTACTTTTAGACTTCTATCAAATAAATGTTGCTCTTATGAACATTCTATTCATCAAAGAATCCTAGAAAAAAACAACTATTACTGTTGCCACAAAAATATTAAGCAGCACAACTGTTTTCAACAATAATATTTCTTAAGTGTCAAATCAACATTACTGTAGTATAATTTCAGAAGGATCATGTGACACTAAAGACTAGAATAATAACTGCTGGAATAATAACATTCAGCTCTGAATCACAGGATAAATTACATGTTAAAATATATTAAAATAGAAAACAGTTGTGATGATGTTTTACAGTATTACTGTTTTACAGTTATTTTGATATAATAAATAAAGCCTTGGTGAGCATGAGACATCAAAAAGCATGAGTCTTAAAAAAAACACACCAACCTCAAAATGTTAAACAGTTGTGTATACACTGAAATATAAATCAATTAATACTTATTTTTTTCTTAACTGACACCTTCCAACAGATTTTGTCTCTCTTGAGCTCATTGTGTTCTTAATTGAGGTCCTGTAGTGTGAATGTGAGGGGGACATTAGCAAAATACAGTCAAAAAGTCACATGATAGGACAAAATTGGCTGATTACCCAGTGAATGAGATAATTCCCACTTATCATGTTCACAACTGATCCGCAAATGACCTGAGAGGGTTAAAATGGTGGAAATGGACAGACTAATTACTAAGTAAACAACTAGGACATCACACTTTCGGTCAGATCCGAATCTAAACAAAGCTGAAATTACTTGTGAAACACAAAATGAGTCAATTTGTAGCGACTTGGTTAAATCAACGTGTCAATCTGCAACGTGTACAGAGGACTTGTTGAAGAAACTTCTGAAAAGATAACTATTAATAATAGCCAAACAACAGTTAGTAACTAATAAAAGCTAAAAAAAAATTACTGTATTTTTATAGTGGTTCTTTTTTAAGCATGTGAAATAAATAAATAAATAAATTTTTTAAAACAAAAAACTTTGACATAAATTTGGTTTAAATACTTTAAGTATGTTAAAATAAAGACAAACATATTATGATATTAGCTCCCTTTGCCATTAACCCAAACATCAGAGTAAACATCAGATGCATCTGGAACATTAATTTACATAAAACTGAATAAATAAATAACAGTTTGCCTTTTCATATCAGAAGTCCACTGTATGGCCCTGTTTCAGAGGAAATGGTGATTCGTCAGCTGCAATCATTTTGTTTGGAGCAGCTGCGAGCGAGAGAAGAAGCACGCCTGATTCCCTCCCCCCAACGACAGGCTGCAGATGGGCCGTCCCTTTATAAACACATACATACTCTTCATAGGGGTCTCGAGAGTACAGTGGA